GGTTGAGAAACACTGCTTTATTGAACATAGCGCAGTGGTCAATAATCTATAAAAGTTTATTTGCATCACTCTCTAAGGGCCTTTCCTCACTGCCGGGTTGATGTTCTCTCTGTTCCTCACCCCTTGAGGCAGCCAGGGATGATATCAGAAGAAAGGGCAAAGCGCTTTAGCACCACTCCCTCGGATGCCTTAAGGCCATGGGAGAAACAGAGATGTGGCCAGGCCCTATTTGTGCACATCTGCAAAGGCAGGATAGCTTAATGCAATGAGCAAATCTAAGATTCTGTTTCGAAGAGGATAGCACATTTTGTATATTAAACAAAAAAGAAACATTGGAGAGAGATCCTTGTGGTGTGGGCCGCACCACTGCTCCAAAATAAATCACGTTTGTGAAGTTCTGGTAGATAGGCATATAGAAAACACCAATGAGTGAACTCAAATGGATCTCTAAAGTGCTAACACATAAGCTATCACTTTTGCTTCCCTTTGTATCTATGTCATCGTCAGTGCTAAATGCCAGTAATGGGAGTTGCCGTTGTGTCATCATCTCTCATACTTCGCAGCAATCACCAATCTTTTAAAATCAATCTGCTTCTGTTCTTCCTCGTCCTCCAGCAGAGAAAGAAATGATTGAAACTGAACATTAGTTGAGTTATTGGGACTTTCAGTTACCCCAAGAAGGGTATTCAGTTGTTGTGGGTCTTTGTCTAGTTTCTTGACGCATCCTTCTTTCTTTTTTTTCCCAGCTCATCATAGGCATCAGTTTTATTTACCTGTTTTCAGCCAAAAAAAAAGAAAAAAAGTAACAATTTCATCTAGGATGATTTCTGCCCTTATATAGAGCAGTGGTCTGTATTAAAAACTTGCAGTGATTACCTTCAAGGGTCTAAGAGGAACATCTGGAAAAAGATCCCTCAAAGCAGTTTTTAAAAGAGAGTAGGAGATCAGTAGGGAGGAACCAAGCTTTTTCTACCCCTCCAAAAGCCAGGCACCCAAGATTACAATCCAGCTTCTAAACAGTTACTTACTGCCTTAGATTGCTGTTATGAGACAGTAGTTTCAGAGGCATTAGAAGATCTTGAGCTGGCAAAGGAATAATCATTCAGGAAGCCTTGGCAGGATGGGATCAGCTGGTTTGGAGATAATATAAGGGCAGAGTAGGGGAAAGGGGAAAGTCTGTGCAATACCCCCCATAGCAGCTCATGAGTTGCAAGCTGTTATGGTGAGGAAGAGAGTAGACAAACAACCTGATGGTCCTTACTCTGAAGTCCAGAAGGGCTTACTTCCAAGTAAGTGTAACATTGCATTGCATCTCTTCAACAGGTTGGTAAAAAATGGTGTATTAGGAATGCCTATTGATTGTGCTAATGTCAAGTTTATCTTTTCATCTTCCTGTTTAGAATTTGCTTTAAGCTTTGGCACGGGACTAACTTGACACCTTGCTCCTTTTAGAGAAACAGAGAAAAGAAACAGACCTGATTCCTTTTTTTGCTTTTGAGAATTACACACTTCTTTCTTGGGGTTTTAAATTCTTTAATAGCTACCTTTGCAGGATTATTCTTTGAATTTCTTCTGAATCCCAGAATCACTTGATCTGGGTATACATTGGAGGGATTCCTGAAAGAGAAACCTTTTTAAAGCATCTTTTAAAACTTTAATGTTTGTGCTGTTCAGTAGAGTTCAAGGAACAAGATGGCTAAAAAGCTCAGTAGGTGGCTTTGAGTTACTGCAATTCTCAGAATTAGATGCTTTGCTTCTCCCCCACCCCATTTTGGTTCTTTGACCTTCAGAATATTGAAGAGATTAACTGTTTTTAACAGGTGTCTGATAGGCAGACATTTAATCAAGTTTTACCAAGATGATGTAATGGGAACATTCTTGCTTGTTCAACCCAGTGAGATGCTCTTAAAGGCAAAAGAGCTTTCTTAGGGCTACAACTCCTTTGGGCCAGAAAATACTTTGAAGATGGTGAATGCACTAGGAAACAATTGGTTGAAAATGCTTTTATCTACTGCTCGACAGAATAATGTATCTTTTTTTAAATCAGGATTAGGGAAGGATTTTCTTCAGTTTTAAGTCATTGTAGAACAAACGTGTTGAAAATTCTGTTGCCTCTTTGAATTTTATAATGTCTTCATGGCTGTAATAAGGGCAAAATGTTTCATTATCTTTTTTTTTTTTGAGTGGGTTGTTATTTGTTGCTTTTAATTGCGTATGCCACCCTGAATCCCATGTCGAGTGGATTGCTAAATAAATTGAATACCAGATAATTAATAAATATAACTCCTGGCTTGAGAATGTCTATGGCAGAGAAGGCACTTTAAGATGAAATATAATCAGTTTGTCCTCTGTGCTATTTGTTAATGTTGATTGTCCTCATGCAATACATGGAACCGCAAAACTAGCCAATGAGGTTAGTTTGTCATTCAGTGTGTTGTGTGAATCTGGAACACTGGGTTAATTAAATAACCCATACAATGTCTGAACTCAAGACATGGGGGTAATTATATAACCCATAGTTTAGTCAACCTGAATAAACATGTTGTGCAAATACAATTGGCTGTGTCCATATGACACAACAGAACACAAACTACCCAATGATTTTAACCAAGTCTGCCCTACAAACCCATCGGTGTGGTTAATTTTATCATTTGTAGTTCCATATGCTCTGAGAACCCTGAAAATTAATCTTGGAATCTGTAGTTAAATTACTTGCAAAAACATTTGTTGCACTAAATGCAGTTTTCCCCCACTTCTCTTCATGATGCCTGTGTTTGTATGACACTCTGAACTACAAACTACCTACCTATATTGTAGCTTAGCCTGTGGTGTGAATGCCAACAATGTAGGCTGGTTATGGTTCCGTGTGTCCTGAGTATGCAGGAAGCTGGGTTAACTGGATAAGCGAAGGCTCTGTTAACCGTGGATGTGTTTTTAAAATACAGCTGATGAATACTCTGGGTGGCCAGATTTGAAAGAAGCAGCTGTGTTTGCAGTTCTAGTAGGTGTGAATGAGCAGAGAATGTCGCTAGGTCATTCTTAGCAAGGAAAGTTCTCAGTTGCACAACTATTCAAGGTGAAGGGGCTCCAACCTCTACCATGCCCACAGCAGAGTCCTCTGCTCAGAGATGTCTGTAGGGGGAGGTCAGAAAAGTCAAGATGGCAGCCAATCAAAGCCTACCCATTTGATGTGTGTCATGTGCATGCAGCACATAAAGGGGGGGGGTGTCTTCAATCACAGGACCATAGCTGCCATCACAATTCTTTTAACCCTCACCCCATCCCTGGCTCCCTACCTGCAGTTCAAGGTGGGTGCACCCTGGGCATAGGCTGATCCATCTGTTGGGAAGCAAACTCAGCCTCTGGGAAGAAATTATGAAGCTTTAAGGTAAGGCATGATGAACCGCCTCAAGATGTCAGGGTGGGTGTAGAGATCAGCCAACAACTTTTTTGCCTCTGTGTTCATTCCTAACTCCATCCCATTCAATCTTAATCTGCAATTTTTAAAAACTATCTGTTCAAACACTTTATTTTTTTAAAAAAAAACATCCTGTCTCTTGCCCATGTTAGGGGAAAAGGCACACTTTAAAATTGCAGACATAATGGAATTCCTCCAATTATGAATCAGGTTTATTTTATTTTTTTATTTTCTTTCTTTCTTTCTTTCTTTCTTTCTTTCTTTCTTTCTTTCTTTCTTTCTTTCTTTCTTTCTTTCTTTCTTTCTTTCTTTCTTTCTTTCTTTCTTTCTTTCTTTCTTTCTTTCTTTCTTTCTTTCTTTCTTTCTTTCTTTCTTTCTTTCTTTCTTTCTTTCTTTCTTTCTTTCTTTCTTTCTTTCTTTCTTTCTTTCTTTCTTTCTTTCTTTCTTTCTTTCTTTCTTTCTTTCTTTCTTTCTTTCTTTCTTTCTTTCTTTCTTTCTTTCTTTCTTTCTTTCTTTCTTTCTTTCTTAATTAATTAATTAATTAAATTTCTCCCCTGCCCATCTCCCCCCAATGGAGGACTCTGGGCGACTCACACAAAACATTAAAACCATAAATACATATAAGTACATAAAACATCAAAATTTAAAAAACATTACCAAAAGAAAAGAAAAAAAACTCCAAGAGGCTGATGGTTTCCAGAGCTGCAGACAACAGGCCTCTAAGGGCTAGCTAGCCCCACGCTTGACGTCTTCCCTCCCCACCCTAGGCCAAGCGGCAGAGCCAGGTCTTCAAATCCCTCCGGAAGGCCAGGAGTGAGGGGGCCAATCTCACCTCCAGGGGCAAGATATTCCAAAGGGCGGGGGCTACCGCAGAGAAGGCCCACCTTCTGGACCCCACTAATTGGATCTCTTTTACCAAGGGGGTCCGAAGCATGCCCTCTCTGTGTGATTGGGTGGGATGGGTTGAAGTCATGTGGAAGAGGCAGTCCCTCAGGTAACCTGGCCCCATGCCATGTAGGGCTTTAAAGGTGATAACCAACACCTTGAATTGGATCCAGAAACAAACTGGTACCCAGTGCAGCTCATGGAGCAACAGCATTACATGGGCCCTTCTTGGGGCTCCAAAAATAGCCTGCGCGGCTGCATTCTGGACCAGCTGTAGCTTTGCTGTGAGATGCATCCAGTCAAGATCATATGTAACGTTATTCCAGGATTATAAGAGACTTTTTATTAAAATGTTCAGATCACAGCAACTGTGAGACTTTGTCTGAACTTGGAAGCTGAAAAAGGGTTGGACCTGACTGGATAGAAGACCATCAAGAGAAGACTAAGGAAGCTGAAAAAAGCATGCTAGAAAATAAATATTTCTATACTGTTGCCAAGAAATTCCACCAAAGTGCCCAAATCATCACCAGGAGTCCAGTTCAGTTTGAGGGAGCCTTTACCTTGATCATAAATATCTTCTTCTTCTTCTTCTTCTTTCAGAAAGTGATTATGATGTTCTGGTTCATAGTTCCAACTCTCTTCTTGCCTGTGATTGAGAACTCTGAATGTAAGTTTCTGATTCCCTTCTTGGAAAAGGTTGGCGAGAAGGAGGGTGGGTGAATCTCCAGCTGCCTTTTAGTCCACCAACTTGGGTGTTAGCCCTGCAAGGTAGTCCAGACAAGAAGCACAACCAGGAGGACCAGCTCTGTCTTTATTGTAAGGTTACAGTAACAGAATCTTGCAGGACTGAAGGTATTTCTCCCTTCCTTTCCTTTTACTCTCCAGAAAACTAGGGAGGGTCCCTTCTGAAACGCTTCCCCTGCCATGCCATCCCCCTGGCAGCCTGCCTGGCTGCCGTAGCAGCACATATGGCTTCCTCTTTTAGGAAGAATAAATAGCATACTTTGGGATATTCATATTGAGGTAAATTTACTGATGAGTCTTGCTAGTACAGAGATGCATAACCTGGGCCTCCAGAAGGACACGTGGCTTCCAACACCCTGCAGAGCAGCCTCAAAGAAATTGTCACTCAGGTGTACATCTAAATTGTAAATCTGTAAATGATGTAAAAGCTCAGAGAACCCCAAGGACTCCACAGATGTAAATGTTTGCCTGACAATCATATTAAATGCATGCAATAGTAGGAGGTCCCACAAATCTTGCCAGCTAAGAATTAGGTGTCTGTTCTTGGTTGCAGATTTAACTTTGCCGAGTGCAACATGACTTTAGCAACCAGGGTGGACAGCCCATCACACAGGCATCTATCTGGGTACCCTCCAAATCCAGTTCCAGAATTCTTCACCAAGAAGGGCATTTCTGGGGATTTGGGGATATAAAATTTAGACAGTCCCTCTTGTAAGGTGTACTGAGCCTTCAGGGAAAAGGTAGAATGTAAATGAAATAACTAATCAAATAATTGGTGCCATTTATAAAATCCACATACCATCTTGCAATTTTGCAATGGGGATAATGTGAGGCTTCCAGACATGGGCTGCAAAAAGCAAGATGGCCTCCAGATGGGAGCAAAGCACTATAGAAAACAGAAACTCTGCTTCCATCTAGTGTTTGGATTTGTGCTGCTGAAGCTGGTGCCCCGAAATTCAGTGGAATTATGCATACCTAGTACAGATTTGGGGTGCACATCAGGGAGGATGTTTCTGAAAAGCTTCCAAGAATTACTGTACCTGCTCTGAAGTGAAACCAAGCCAGCAATGAGTAACTGGTGTGGGGAATTGAGAGATTGGGGTGGCAGGATGAAGGTAATGGTTTCCTCTGCTGGTGACCAACCAGCTGATGGATCCCCCTCTGTTCTAGATCACCTGATGCAGCTTCATAAACCCGGTGGAGAGGCAGCGGTGAGACTTCGGAGGACTTTGGGACCTTGCCTTCCAAACCCATGTTTTCACCAGGGAGAGTGTAAAATTGTAGGCAACAGTCCCAACTGCACATGTAAGACTGGCTTTATGGGCCCATTCTGTAAAGGTAAGACACATCTGCCCTGGGATGCAAAGGCCTACAGCAGTGTTTCTCAGCCTTGGCAACTTGAAGGCATGTGGACTTCAACTCCCAGAATCCCCCAGCCAGCCATGGGTTAAGAAACACTGGCCTACAGACTCCTTGTGTTTTGAAGGAATTTTCTTAACAGCTTTTGGAGTTTCTCCTTTCCCTCTTTTCCAAGAAACACTTAACTGATCTGACACAAAGGACCTTTTGAAATTCCCCACCATGAGCGGTCACTCTGTCTTCAAAAATCTCCACTGACGTCTTTGTTTTAAACAATCTGTACGCTTAAGAGTTACCAGGTGCAGAGAAAAATATTTGCAAGAATATGTCCTTGAGGAGATAGATCTCTCTGGGGCCCTAAAATACAAAATATTTCACTTTCAATCCTTCTTTGGGGCAAGCACTGTCTTTTTTTCTTGTTTTACTGAAGCACAATTCTGTTACAGATTGAAGCCGGTAAAATTGTTCTACAAAATTACAGACATCTACCCAAATAATATTTCTAAATCAAAATGTGTAAAGTATTAAAATATATCTATCACCGTCATGTACAAGATGTGAGCTATCCATGTTGGGTATTGATGCTTCAGTGCAACTTTTCCTTTTATACTGTTTCTAGTCTAATATTAATTGAATTGTTCATAGCTCAGAAATTTTGACAAAAATTATCAGCAGATAACCTCAGATGATACCACCTCTTATCCCAAATAAGAAAAATATTCCTGTGCCATGCATCTTTGTCTTTACATAGTTTCCTGGAGATGAATTTACATAGGTGAATCATATTCCCAATACCAGAAGTAAGATTGGTACAATATCTTAGCAAATCTTCCACCATTTTCCAGAAGTCTGAATGATCTAACAATCCTTATTTTATGGTCTTTCATGGCTCTGAATTCCACTGATCTCTCTGTACCCAGGTCAGAATTAGCTAAGGTGTCTGGGCTTCATTACAGGTAGTCCTTAACTTATATCCATTTTTTAACGACCATTCAAAGTTATGATGGCACTGATAAAAGTGATTTATGACTAGTCCTCGCACTGTCGCAGCATCCCTGCGGTCATGTGATCAAAATTTGGGTGCTTGGCAACTGGCATCTATTTATGAAGATTGCAGCATCCCAGGGTCGCGTTACTACCATTTGCAACCTTCCCAGAAGGCTTCTGACAAGCAGAAACCATGGGGGAAGCCAGATTCACTTAATGACCACAGCAGAAAAGGTCATAAAATCAGGTGCAGTCATGTGATACCTCACTTAATGACCACACTGCTTAACAATGAATTTTCCAGTCCCTATTGTGGTCATAAGTCGAGGACTACCTGTATATCACTCCAGCTTCTTACCATAGAATTTAAGGGCTGGGATTATCCAAACCCTGCCCCATGCAGGAATCCCTGATGGTTGTTCTCCAGCGTCTGCTTAAACATCTCCAGCAAAGGAAACTCTACCACTTTCCAAGGCAGCTTATTCCATGGCTGAGCAGCTCTTACTGTTAGCAAATGTTTCATGATGCCAGTCCTAATCTACTTCCTTGTCATTTAAACCCATTGTTTCTTGCCCTATATTTTGGAACAACTCTAAACAACTCTGCTGTAGAAGAATTTAGAGATGACCTGGGGAATGTATGAAAGAAACTTTAAAGAGGGATTTGCAGAAAAGATTATACAGTCCAGAGGGTGAAGTAAGTGTAACATTTTGATTTTGTTTAGTATAAGAGGGGATGGAGAAAAACAGGCTTTCAAGATGCTGATACTCTACCCTACAACAATAAAGTAGCATTCCTGGAATCACTATAGTGTCTGTTTCTTGACCTGGCCCACCTTCAAGGGCTGGCATCATCTGCCTTCTCCAGGACAGGCCTTCAGATACTTGGAAATGGCTATCATGTCTCCTTGAGGTCTTCTCATCTCCAGGCTAAACATAACCAACACCTCCAACATGCCTCATAAATTTTCTTTCTTCCTAAGACGGGGTGCCCAGGATGAGATGCAATACTCTAAGTCAATGTTGCTCAACCTCAGCAAATTTTGGAGTATGGACTTCAACTCCCAGGATTCCCCAGCCAGCATGGGAGTTGAAGTCCACGTATCTTAAAGTTGTCGAGGTTAAGAAACACTGCTCTAGGTGCAGATTCCTCAATGTTCAAATGATGCAGGTTAGGTTTCCTTTGTCACTCCAGTTTGGACTTCAGAAAGTTGGGTGAGTGACTTCTCCACATTTCTTCAGGTCTAAGAAAAATCCTCAAGCATTTCTCCAGGACCGCTCACAGTGACAACACTGAATTTTTTCCCACCCATTCTCATTTGGAAGAAACATACTTTTCTTTTGAAATTTCTTGCAAAGGAGAAGTGACTTTTGGTTAAATTCTCATAGGAGGAATGCTCTCTCTTTAGTAATCAGATAGCCAAGAGGTATATATGAAAGCTATGTCTTTCATTGCATAATGGCTTCCCATACTTACACTCAGTCCCACAGGAAGGCAGTTCTTCCAGAGTAGTTTTCAGCAAAGGTCCAATGCCACCAAAATGGGAAGTCCCGCCTTTGTGAAATGACTGGAAAATTTCTCCTTCCCTTGGAGAAATTCAATCTCTCCTTTCTGACCTTGAATCAGGTGGACAACTTCAAAAGGCCCTTTTGACATGTCAAAAAAGCAACAGTGTTAGAGTTCCTGCTCTGCACTGATGCCTAACCTCTATCTGGGTTTGGGTATCATAAAAATATCCACCAATTTGCAGGATCACATTCCAAGAACACCAAACCTGGCTAAAATGCCCCTCCTTGGAGGTCTCAGTGTTTTAGGAATAAGTGTTTAGGTGTCATCCTGTTATTATTTCCTCAACTCCAGATATGGAGGTGAAACTCCTTTGCGAGGAGGAGTATATGAAGATGATGGTGAGAAAGGAAGTGTTTGAGATACTGAAAGTCCCCTTGAGATCTGTCCATCTGATGAACAGTTCTTGCGCTGCTTCTGAGCAAGATGAGGATGGAGAAAGCTTCTTTGGAGCCAAGTTGACAGGGGAAAACCACACTGCCTGTGGGTCAGAGATCAAGGTAAGGGAGGATATGTAGATATATTCAGTCTGTCCTGAGCTTCATTGTTGGCTTCACAATTGCAAGGAGAGCAGGAAGCAGAGAGAAACAGGTAATGTTCTTGGTCAGGAAGTTTTGAGTCATATGTCAAATAGTCTCATTCTCTCTCTGGCAATCTTGGATCCACCAAATGCATATAGACTTCCACCTCTGCAAACTACCCCAAGAACAGGAATAACAATAGAATCATGTAGTGGAAAAGGATCTTAGAGGTCACATAGTCCAACCCCCTATTCAGTGCAAGATCTGCTAGGGCATTTCTACCAGATGATCAGCCAGCCTCTGTTTGAAGACTTCCAGCAAAGGGGAACTCGCCACATCATGTGGCATTCAACTGGCTGGCTGACAGCTCATACAATTAATCTCCATCTGTGGCATATGCAGAGCAATAGGGTTATTGAAAAGAAAGAAAGGATTTATGAGTCATCAGAAATACCTTATGGGTATGCATAGGTCAAAGCTGAAAGTTGACCTGACTCATAAATCCAGACTTACATTAAAAAAAGGAAGCAATTCTGTAAAATCTGGATTCAGAATTGGTAAGAGGAATGAAGGACTGGCTTTCTTTCTATGTGTGGTTTCCATTTTGTGAGCCAGACCAGCACAATGAAGAGAGCAACAGAGGGCATGTGTGGCTGTGCAAAGTGGGATTTTGAACATGTTTCTTCTATAAGGAAGCCATACACTGTTATTCTGAATCTGGTAAAACTTGGGAAAGATCAGGCTGTGGATGGTCCTTATTGGCTAATGTGAGGTCCATCAGGGATTTGTCTTTCTTCTCACCAGTCTCCTGAGGAAATCTTGTTAAACTATTAGGGCTTTCCAATGCTTGAGATTTGATTCCAATAAGGCGTTTTGGTGCTCACAGGACCACAAACGTGGCACCTATCTGTAACTCTTTAAAGCAGCTATATATTTTTCCCACAATCCCAGGAAAAGAAGTAGCTGCTTTTAAGAGGTGCAAGCCATTGCCATGTTCAGATACACCCCAAACCATATTTATTGAATTATTTCCAAAATGCTGCCTAGCCCTACTAAGCATACAGGTGCACTCCAAAAAATAAATATGGTTGACCCTCCTAGAATGTAAAAGTTGTGAGGATCTTACAGATCAACTGGTCTAACCCTTGCCCAATGTAGGAATCCACTTCTATAGTACCCCTGACAGACGGACATCCACCCTTCATTTTCATCGTTCCAAGGAAGCAGGATCCATTACCTCTTGAAGCAGTTTGCAGCTGTGGCTGTCATTGTCAGGATATTTTTCCTGATGTCTACCCAAAATCGACTTCCTTGTCATTGTGGGAAAGCCGTATTAGCTTATGATGGCCAAAAATCAGAAGGCATCTGGTAGCACCTTTTCTGACTAATAAATATTAAAAGGCCAAAGCTTTTGTCAGCTGCAGCCCACAGGCTCTTTCAGAAGGTCTCAATAAATCCAGTGGGTTTTGAACACATTACAGTTCTTAATTGATAAGATGGTTGCAATCTGTCTGACGTGCAACCTGCACCTGCATAGCCACCCAGTCTCCCTCTCCTTCCCCCACATCTCACCCCAATTTATACCAGTCTAGTCATTCCATGCATCTAATGAAGTGAGTTGAAGCTCACAAAAGCTTCTGTCTTTTGATACAATTTGTTGGAAAAGGTGCTACCAGACTCCTTCTGATTCCTTTAAGGTAATTTAAACCCATTACTTCTTCTCCTGTCTTCTGAAATAATTCTGCCCTGTCTTCTTCAGATACTTGAGGAGAGTTATCAATGTTTCCTTGCAATCTTCTCCAAGCTAAACCTTCCAGCACTTCCAACATCTCCTTGTAAGTCTTTTCTTCAAGGCCCCTTCTCATCTTGGTTGCCCTCCTCTGGACCCCTCCAGTTTGTCAACATCATTCCTAAACTGTGGGGCTCAGAACTGGATGCAATTCTCTCAGTATGGTCAGTTTGACTAAGAACCCATAATAAAGAGGAACAATGAAGTTTACGTATCCAGCAGGGCTCATGTAAGCTTATCCAATTTAGAAGTGGCCACTTCTGATGTTGCATTACTGCAGTCTTCACCCACAACTCTAATCTTGGCCCCTAATCTAGTTTCTGGTCCATTTTGCAGGTCAATGGTTCTCATGTGTCTTATGCCAATGTGATAGAGTCAGACCGGGAGGATAATGGTGTGATCACCAGGAGCGCACTCATCCGTGTACACTTCTCCTGCATCTATGCCTACAAGCGTGTAGTCAGCTTGCTGTACTCCCTCAAGGCTTTGGACACGTATGTTGTGGCTTGGGTTACTGTAAGCATTCTCTTTAGCTTCCTATCTGTTGTACTGTGTTGAATGCCATCCTCTAAGCTGGCAATCTGCATTTCAGAAGAGGGAGCAGAGGGCTTTGGCATTCATCCTACATTGTGCTGAGGCCAGCCAGTTGCAAAGAGCTCATGTAATAAGTGAACTCCTTCTTTTGAGATAACAATTGCTAAAAATGCCGGGCATGGGAACGGTCTGCAGCTTGATGGTAGAGCCCATGTTTTGCAGCCAAAGGTTGGTGATTTAGTCTCCAACAGGTTCAGCTAGGAAAGGCTCCTATCTGAAACTTTGAAATGCTGAACAGTGTGGCTTGGAATAAGACAATTTCCAGTGTTTTTATTATTATTTCAAAAGTGGTGCATTCCACATCTCTAAGGGCTAGGAAGGTGCAAAGAACAGGTGGGGTGAGCAACCTTCCAGGGGCTGAAGGTCATATCTTCCATGTTGTTTTTTCTAGCCAAGGGACACAACCAACAATGTTTGTGAGACAAAATGAGCAGGGCTTTGGGATAATAATAAAAAAAAAAATCTAGGGAAGCATTTACTAACTTGGTGCCCATCATCAGAAAAAGATAGGAATTATGCTGGGCTGTGACTCCTCTCACTCCCAGCTAGCATGGATATTGGTTAAGTGGGCTATGGATGTTGGATAAGGTTGTCACCCTGGCTGTAATTCTGATCTGATGTTTCTTTGAATGCGCTAGATATGGACGCTGCAAATGATTACTGTGGTGTATGCAGAATCAAATTATTCTGTATAACCATACTCATGAGCACCCCCTAGTGGACAGAGGCCACCTGAACTGTACCAGAAGGGTGAACAACTGATGGAGGGTCCTGTTCATAGCTGCTCTTTTGGGCTGCAAACCTCACACGGTCCCCACCTGGTGGGCTTACTATTAGATAAATTTCAGTGGTAAAGTAAAAACAGGCAGGGCATCTAGTGATAGAGCAAGGAAGAAGCACTGGAGGGAGATGTTTCTTTCCTCCTTTTTGCTAATATTGGGACAACCTGAGGTGCTTCAATGTTTTTGATCCATGGCTGAATGTAGCTAGCATCAAACAGGGTCTGAAATATGAGATAGCATATTTGGAAACCTTGGGGAGGTGCCCTGAGGTGCATCTCTTGGACTGGGCAGGAAGCAAAATTATTTCCCTTATATTCAATCTCATTAACCTGAATATAATGAATATAATATAATTAACCAGGAATTAACCAGCACTACTGTCTTCAGACTGCTTTCACTTTTCTCTTTCTTCTTTAAGAAGACAAGATTCTCACTGTAGGATGGCCTGTAAGTTTTCTCAGGGAACCTATTAATGCATTTGTTCTATTATCAGGAGGTTAAATTCAAAAATGAGGTCCAAAGAGTGATATGAGGTCATCTAGGACCTGATCAGGTACAGGCTGGGAGGTGAGTAGCGGGTGGAGTGGCAGGAAAAGGATGAGAATCATGCAACATGATTGTTATCATCATTGATTTGGTTAATTGATTGATTATGTGCTATCACATGACTCTTAGTGAGGACACAGATGGATCTTCTCCAGGATGATCTGTCTCCAACCAAAACCCTTCAGGTCTTCCACCTTGCTGCTGGTCATCCTCTTCTTCTCTTTCTTTCCACCTTCCATCACTGATATGGGGAAGCAATTTAAGGGAAAGTTAATACAGAGTGGAAGAAAAGGAGAGTGAAATCAGAGCATTTTTCCTCAGCATTATCAGTCACCCACATCCTCCATCAGGATATCCCCACTTTTATTTGTCATCTTTCTTTTTCAGTTGTAGTCCTGTTCCACAGTGAACAACCAGTGCTTTAGCTGATGTTACTCGCTTAGCCTTCTCCACATCAGGATGGTCGCAACCACATTCTGATCATTGCTAAATGAAGTGAGGTGGTTGAATTCAGTTCAGTGGTGCAGTTCAGAGCTTGAGAGAGATTCATGTCCAAGCCAGGCCCACCTGCACATCTGTCACACCTGCACATCTGTCATCAGGCCAAGGAGTAGCCCTCTTGCCCCTTCCCAGGGGCCCTTAGCAAAAAACAGGAGAAGTCTCCACCTTAACAAGCTGGATATAAATACAGCTCTAAAGGGAAAGCAATCCAGTTGCAGAGATTCCTCTAATCTTATTGTATTTCTTTTCAATAAACTGTATGAATGGAGGGCCTAGGAAAATCCTGTTTTCCATTATAGTTGGCTGTGAAAAGCTTGAAAGGTGGCCAAAAAGGAACAAACCTTTCTTCATTGTAGGCCCCACGTCTACAATGTGCTCCCCAGGGCATGAGTGTCCACAGGTTGTAGTCAAAAAAGTCAAGATGCTGGCTGTAACTGTGCTTGGTTTTTATGTGCCACACCATGCCCTATGGACATCCTGCCCCAGGAGGGCAAGCCTGACACCCCACACAAACAAAGGCGATCCTCTTTTGCCAGGCATTTCTGTACAGTAGTTTGATGTTAAGTACTTGCTCAGCAATTTGTTTTATGTAGTGCAATTTATGTTTTCTCTCTTCCTGGTGTGCTGGTATTGGTTACATGTTAATTGTTTTAGTTTTTTTAAACAGGATTTTAGAAACATTTAAAGTTGGAAATCACCTAGAAGGCCCTCCAGAGAACTTGTGTTAGGAGGTGAAATAGAAAAATAATGGATAATAGGGAGAATTCGAATAATAAAATCTTCCTCTTAAGTCTCAGCAGTGTATCTGTGCTGGCATGCTCTACTAGAATCTGTGGTTGCAAGAGATGTCAGAAATAGTTGGGCCACAAGCTGAAAAGCAATAGTTGACTTGGCATGGATAATTTAGGCGAAGAATAGCTCAGCAGCTGATTCCCTCTTCACACAAATGCACTCCCCTATATTGATTGATTGATTGATTGATTGATTGATTGATTGATTGATTGATTGATTGATTGATTGATTGATTGATTGATTGATTGATTGATTGATTGATTGATTGATTGATTGATTGATTGATTGATTGATTGATTGATTGATTGATTGATTGATTGATTGATTGATTGATTGATTGATTGATTGATTGATTGATTGATTGATTGATTGATTGATTGATTGATTGAGGAATACTCCTGTTTCCTAGGTTTGTGCAATTTTCAGTTAAAGAAGGGGACTTCACCGTAACCATGGCCCTCTACGAGAGTGCCAGCTTCAAGAAGCCTTACAGCCAGCAGCCGCTGTTGCTTTTCATGACGGACACCCTCTACGTCCTCCTGAAGATAGAAGGGCAAGACCAGGTGAAGTACTTCTTTCTAAGTGTAGAGGACTGCTGGGGCACCCCAACGAATGACCCTGAAGACAGCACGAAGCACTACCTGATCATGAAAGGGTAAGAGGCGAGGTTGGTGTTTCTCTATGGGATGCTGGATGAAGAACCAGGGTAATGGATAGAGTTGCCAACCATTTGGAGTCATGAGCACATTTTGAACCCTGAGATCTTTTGGGGGATGCATAGATAGACAGACAGACAGACAGACATCTTCATATATCGATCTCTATATATACTGTATATATGGAGCAGATTTGGGGACTAAGTCCTAGCAAAGGACACTGATTTCCCCAAAGGCAGGTTGTCCAGGATCCTACAAATGAGCAGGGAGTGAGTCAGATGCCCAAATGCCCAAATGTGTGCCTTTTCCCTTACGGCATTTGGCCTCCAGAACAATCTCCCCACAACAAATGATTGGCCCCAATCCTGCTGCCCGAGGCCAGGATGATGAGAGTCCCATCTGGAAGAGAGTGACAATTGTGAGTTCCCAGGGTTTGCTTTCATTTTAACTGAATTGTCACTTAGTTTTCACTTAGTTTTGGTTTGTTGTAAGTCTCACAGAGTTGCAGTATTCGAGTTGGGTGGTCTTAAAAGTTTCTGAACTATATACATATAAATCACAAAGGAAAGAAAACTGTCTGTTTTACAGAAGGCAACTTGTGAGGCTTAAAGAGATAGATTCCCCAAACCACCAAGAAAGTAGCTAAAATGGGGATGTGTTTTTTTTAAAAAATGCCCAGGAGATATGGCATACTCTCCTTCCTGGCAGCATGCCCAGCCTTTCCACAACCTTCTCATACACCCCCCAGGACCCTCCCTACAATTCTGAAGGGAAGGGAAAGGGGTTTTGCAGTCAATCTCTGCCAGGTGAGGCTGCCCAGAACTCTCCATCTCCAACACAGCCCCATTCCTTGATGGCGAGATCCAACTAGCCCGCCATTGTAGCCCATGACTTCAGAAAGAAGGGACCTGTTCTTCAACGGTCCATTTTCTCCCCCAAAAGAGAGTGATCTCTTTTTGTTTTGGGGGGGTGCACAAATCTCACAGCAGTAAAAATCTTACAAGACCCCTCTGAATGTGGTACTTTTAGAATTGGGATTTTAAATTACAGCCCAACTAATTGAAGAATTTTGCTTTAAAAACTGTTGAGCGTAGGGGAAGTGACATCACACACATCATGATGTCATCTGCAAATGCCCTGAATGGTGTGACTTGTATCATTTTTGCAATGATGTCATGGTGAAGAAAGTGTTTTAAAGAGAACTTGAATATTCCAGGGTTGAATGTTTGCATTAAAATATGAGGTCAACATATGTGGATGTGAGTGTTCACGAGCAACTTAAGGAGGTCTTGGTCTCTCCCAGCTGTCCACGTGACAAGACGCTGGAGTTCCTCAACGCCGTTGGAACCAGCACGGTGGCAAAGTTCAGCTTTCAAATGTTTCAGTTCAAAAACTTCTCCGAGGTGTACCTACACTGCCAAGTCCGTCTGTGCATTCCAGCCAATCAGAAGCCGTGTGCCAAGGTCAGCCCATGTGTGTTGCACGTGGCTCTGGGACACTGGGCACTTTCTCATATTTTCTTGGGGGCTTGGATATTTATTTGCATTCCCTGACTTTGGGGGGAATGTTTGAGCCCCTGTGAAGAAGGCAGAGATCTCTGTACCTCTTTTGCATGAACAAAGAGAATGGCACAAGGAAATGAAACCACATCATTAGGTCCTGGCATTAAAAATATAGTTTCTGGGGAATGTTTGTGTTACAGTGGGGGCAAATCACCTCATGACAAAGCCAGTTTTATTTGGAGCAAATGGTTTGTACTTTTTCCTGTCTAGTAGGCAAGGACAGCCCCTGGGTTTGGTCCAATCTAGCAAGGCCATTTTTAATTCATGGATTACAGTTCCTATCTCCTTGCTGGCTGGGGAGAATGGGATTTGTACACCAGCCCATTGGCTAGGGGGCTGTATGGTGGTTTTGCAAAGAAGCGTTATTATTTAACATTAGCTCAATCATCAGTAGGGGGTTCTGTATTAAAGCAGACTAATGTTCCTCTTTTCATTGGGCTACAGGAGTGTCCCATCAGGCAGAGGAACAAGAGGGAGCTGGTGGACAACTACATGAAGATTGTCTCCTATGGACCCATTGTGTTTGCAACCCACTCACACTTGGAAACCCGGAACACCAACGATCAGACATCCTTCTGGGGTATGCAGCCATCTTCAAGTTGACACGCCAGGGATGGGGGGGGGCAGTTGTGACTTCCACTTTGATTTTTTTTGACCCCTACCCCGTCCAATACCCCTGTGATGGCTGTTCTTTTGCAGCCCGTGGGGGTTGGAAAGGGTTAATCTGAAGGAGCAGCATGTCTTCCTTTCTCTAAGGGTTTGGGATCCAATTTTATTTTTTAAATCCCCTGAATTATCCTGCCCAAAATATAAACTGAAAAAATTAGCAATATCCCCATCCACATCTCCGGTGGATCTGAAAAACCAATAAAAAGAAGCGGGGGAGCTCTCTGTTGCAGAAAAGTCATCATAATTTATCTGGGTCATTCTTTGGAAGCAAAATGTCAGGTCTATGATGTTCAAACCCCAATATAGAAAAATCTCTTGAAGCCCAAAGTAGGTTCAGAAAAGATTTCATTTACTGGATGGTACATGCAGCTCTAAGCCAAGCATTGCTAAAACTAAAGCCCGCGTAATTTCCCCTCTACTTTTACCCCCCTT